GGGCGAACGGATCCCCGCGCCGTCGGGCGTGTGCCGCCCCCGAGAAGTAAGGGCCGAGTGCAAATGTCCGTTTGTTGGCGGCTTCGAGATGATTACCAGCGGAGAGAAGCCCGTTTGTCGGAAGAAAAAATCCACCTAGTCGAATACGCGTATTAGAGTTTGTGGAGAGAAAAAAAATTCAACACAGCAACGGCGGGAGTTGCCAGCGCCAGATTCCCTTCAGGAGAAAGTCCGTTTCTGGGAAGTCGGGATCTAAGTTATCGTATACCAAGTCCGATGACTTCGCAAAGTTGACAAAAAAACCAAGTCCTTCGAGTCACCACACCGAACTTCCAAGACAAAATATACATTCTCTGTAATGCGAACAAAGTCAAGTGAATACAAATGCATGTACGAATAAAATAGTAATACGTCTTCTTCGTCTCGGTATTACGACTCTCTAGCTAGGAAATACCATATAATAAATACACTTTTGAGTTGAGTTGAGACGGCCGCTGAGGGGCGTATTGTATATAGCGGTAGCTTAGTAGGGAGGGAAGCTACGGTGTATGTATGTATATGTGCACGGAAAATATAGTATAGGACGAACGAAAGAGCAGGGCATCGAAAGCATGGTGATGATGAAGAAACACGGCAAGGAAACCGACCAAGAAACGAGGCGAGGAGCAAGAAAGATAGCGCTACAATGAATGGGACGGGGTGGGTATCGGTCGTTTGGTGCGTTGCGGTCGTGGCGTAGCGATGAGTCGTATTCTCCAAGCTGCAAGTCGAGGAGGCTTCAATCCTCGCTCTTCACCCGCCCCCGCCCCGCCCCGTGCCCATGCCCATGCCCATGCCCATTCCCATTCGCGCCCCCATGCGCCGTCGCCTTCTCCGCGGCATCCACCGCCTCCAGCAAATCCGCCTCGGGGTCCCCATCCCCGTCCCCGTCCCCATCGCCCTCGCCCTCGCCCTCCCCATCCGCGTCCTCGTCCATCTCCTCGTGGTGCCCGTCGCCGTGCGCGTGCGCGTGCGCGTGGTGCGGCACATGTACATGCAGCGCGTCCTCGTCCACCTCCGCCTCCGCGTCCGCGTCCAGGCTGTCCCCCTCCCCGTCCTCCGCGTCCTCCCCATGCCCCTCCCCGTCCGCGCCCCGCCGCCCGCCCCCGTCCCCGTCCGCGTCCCCGTCCAGCTCGTCGTGCTCGTCCACCTCCATCGGGCTGTGCGTCCGCAGCGGCGGCAGCAGCCCCGGCGCGCCCGCGGCGTTCCCGTGCGCGGCCGCGGCCGCGGGGTTCGCAGGCAGCGTGAGCGTCAGCCGGTTCTTGATCACCCGCCCCGCGTTCGCGGCGGCGGAGGAGGACGACGACGAGTGGGGAGCGGCCGTGGAGCGCATGCTGCTCTCCTGCGGCGCCTCGCGCTCTCTGTACCCCGCCCCGCCGCCGCCTCCGCCCGCACCCGCACCCGCACCGGCGGCGGGCAGCGTGTCCGTCCGCTGCACCCCGCCCGTATTGCTCCTGAACGGCTGTCCCCCCGCCCCCGCCGCAGCAGCGCCCGGCGCAGCAGCAGCCCCAGGCTGGCCCGCCCCCGCCCCCGCCGCCGCCGCCGCCGCCGCCATCTCCATCGTCCCCCTTCTCTCCACCCTCTTCATCTTCTTCCTGCACCGGTCGCACACCGTCCCGGGCCCGAGCGGCCCCGGGCCCCACTTCTCGACGCACTTGCCCTCCTTGTAGCGCCCCGGGAGGCCGCACTGGCGGCAGATGCGCTGGTTCGCGGCGTTGGTGGGGGGGAAGGGGGTCTGTGCAGGGCGTTAGCATATAGCAAATACACGTTTGAGTGACACGACAGCGAAACGACGCCAAGCTACCACGAGGGCAAAGCACGAAGAAACCGAATACCAAAGAAACCGAAAAAAAAAATATGAAAAAAAACTCACCCCGCCCCCCTGCGCCGGATACGCAAACGCATGCAGATCCTTCGTGCCCTTCTTCTGCGGCGGCCCCGCCCCGCCTGCCCCTCCCGCTGTTGGCGTCCCCCCGACAACCCCCGCCTGCCCCGGAATCGGCGGCACCGGCGCAAACACGCTCGGCTGCCCGAGCTCCCGCTCCCCCCGCCGCGTGTCGACGCTCCCCGCGCGCTGCGGCGTCCCGTGCCCCCCGCCCCCGTGGTGCCCGCCGGGGACGTCGAGCGTCCCCCGCGCTCGCGGCTCCACTCCGGGCTGCTGCGCGCGTGCTGGCTCGACGACGAGTGCGCGCCGTGCGGGTGCGCGTGCGCCGCGGGGCGCGGGGAGCCGTTCGCGCTCTCGAGGAGCAGCGCGTCGAGGTCGTCCGAGGCGGTGCTGGGCGAGCGGCGGTGCGCGTGCCCGTGCCCGTGCGTGGGCTGGCGCTCGGGGGTGCGGCGGTGCGTCTGGGGGTGGCGCTGGGACGCGGTGGCGGCGGCGGGCGGGTAGCGCGAGGAGGAGGATGATGTGGCGTGGGATGAGGAGGCGTGGGCGGGCGGGAGCCCGGAGGAGGCGGCGGGGTAGTATTGGTGGGGGTGGTGGTACTGCGAGATGCGTCAGTATCAAGATGCAACGAGCCAGAGAGAGATAGAAACGAATAAAAAAGAACCGCGCCCAAAAGACACCAGAACGAGGGTGGGGAGAACGAGACGGAACGTGCAAGACGCCCAACCAGAAATAGCGCGTCGCCGACTTCACGGAATGAAATCAGGTGGAGCCACAAGCCGCTCTCCCCGACCCGAATATCGAAGCCACCCCATTCTCTCCCCAAAAAACACAAAACCCACCTCGTACTCCCCCCCATCCACCCGCGCCCTCTTCAGCTCTCTCCCCCCCTCCCTCCCCCGTTCCCCGTCTCTCCCCCGTTCGCCCGAGTAATGCACGTCGACGCTCTCCGCGCGCGGCCGCCTGCTGCCGGTGGCGAGCGCGGACGCGGCGTGCGCGTTCGGCGGGGGCGGGAGCGCGAGGCTGTTGAACGCGTCCGAGCGCGTGTCGCGGCGGGTGTCTCGTCTGTGTGCGTGTACGCGTGCGTCAGCTTCGTACTCTATTTTCGAGGAAGGGAAGGCAACCGACCTGCGGTCCGCGGGGTAGGCGTGCAGGTGCTGCGCCGGGTGCGCGAGATGGTGTTGCTGCTGCTGCGCCGCGGGCGGGGGCATGTAATACCCGCCCCTCTCCCCGCCGTACCCGCGGTCCCCGTACCCCCTCTCCGCCCCACCACCAGTGTAATTGAGACTGAGGTTCGAGGAACTCGCCCCGGCGGGGAGCGGCACGTCGACGAGCACGAGCCGCCCCCCGCCGCCCTCGACGATCTTGCTGAAGCCGAGCCGCGCGTCCGCCGCGCGCGCGTCGACGACGCCGAGGTAGGCGTTGAGCTGCGCCCAGTTGGACTGCAGGAGCGCGAGGCGCGCGAGGGCGTCGTCGCGGCGGGACTCGGCGAGCGCGGTGCGGTCGTCGAGCGCGAGGAGCAGCGCGAGCGTCGCGGGGGGGAGCTGCGGGACGGTCGCGGCGGTGGTGGGGGATGAGGAGGAGGGGGGGTGCGGGCGGTGGGCGAGTCGGCTGGCGCAGCGGGGGGGTCGGCAGGCACGGGCACGGGGGTGTCCGACGCGGACGCGGCGCTGCCTGAGGACGTCGGGCGGTCGGTCTCTTGTGTCGCCGTCGCAGTAGTAGAATTCGTGGTAGCAGTCGCAGGCGGCACCAGCGTAGCCGCCACAGCGCCAAACGTCGCCAACAGCCGCTCCGCGCGCTCGGCGCGCCGTTTCGCGGCGGCGAGCTCCTCGCGCAGGGCCTCGACGTCGGTGAGCGCGCCGGCGAGCAGGGCGGCGAGGTGTGCGGAGGTGGAGACCGTGCCTGGGAGGGGCACGGGAGTGGGCGTCGTGGTGGGCGCGGTAGTAGCAGTTGTAGTCGTTGTAGGCACAGGAGCGTCGTCAGCAGCAGTTTTAGCGGTCTCAAGGGCGGCGGGCATGGGGACGTCGGGAGAGTCGGTGGCAACGGCGGCGGCAACAGCGGCGTCGACGCCTGGGAGATCGGTCATGTCGTCTGCGTCTTGGGATAGGTACGCGCAGAAAGGTCAGAAAAGCGGGGAGCAGGACAGGGCGCTAGGTACGCGCAAAGGGCAGAAAAGCGGGGCAGCAGGCGCACGGCAAACACGCGCGGCCGGTTTTCTAGTAGGCCGACGTGAAAAGAAGCGCCCTACCCCACGCGAACCCGAACCGCAACAGGCGGGCCAACCCAGCCCGCATCACGGAGTTAGCCCTTTCTCCGCCCAATGTAAATCCCTGTGCACAACCAGTGCTCCTGCAGATCCGACCGCGACCCCCCGTTGCTGCCCCTCCACTCGACTGCAATATCCTCAAATTACAAGGTATCCAACCCTCCGCGCAAACCAGCCCACCCACCATCACAAGAAGCGCCGCGCTCCCCGGGGTCCGTCCCCCACGCGGCCACACACCCTCCTTCTGATGGACGCGTGTCCCGCCAGCAACGTGGTAATCCACCCGACAGCACGGGCGCATTACCAAGCCCGCGCTTCGTAAGAGCGCCGGCCACCTCCCCGCTGTTTGGCGCGCGGATATAGTCGGGATTAAGCCGCGCGCTGATCGCCGCTGCGCGACGGGGATCTCGCGTAACGTATCCCGAGCAGGGTCGGCGCGTCGGCGGAGAACGGGTGCGAATACAGATATTCGCTTCCTCGGGGCCCCGGGGCGATTCCTGCCATTTCGGTATCGCGCCCTTGGTGTACGGTAACACCCGTCTTCATGGTATAAGGTATGCTCACAAGGCACTTCATTCAAGACGAGTCCGGGGTTCGACTCCCCGAGGGCGTATGTCTGGAGCGTCACTTCTTTTGGCGGCGATTCGACTTTTCCGAGTCGCCGACTTTGGTATTGCCATAATCTTTTTTCTTCTTCCCTTGCAGGACAGCCATTTTTTAATCTATCTATCTATATCTATCTAGTTGGGCGGGCGCCTATAACTCGGAGTATAATGTAGCGGAACCATTGTCCACTACAAGAGGTACTAATAAGCACCCTTGGTGTATGGGAACACACATCTGAGAGTTGTTTCTGAGATGATCACTCAGGATGAGTCCGGGGTTCGAATCCCCGAGGGTGCGTTTCCTTCTTGTGCCTAAGTTTTTTGGCCGGGGTTCTGTTTTTCATTTTTCCGCCTTGGTGTTTGCCGTCGTCCGACCAGTACTTTTTGTTGAGAGCAGAATGGAAGGAACAGCCAATCTATCTAGAACAAAACCAGATGCAGGGAGGGGACCTTGCAACATTGGGTGGGCACCCCTAAGTCGGAGTATAATTTATCTACGTGGCCCACCTGAACAGGTCAGTTGATCATGATATCTGCCCGCTACAGTATGCATAGGAAGCACCCTTGGTGTATGGAAACACACATCTTTGAATTTATCTACTCTCTGAGCTCAATCAAGATGAGTCCGGGGTTCAAATCCCCGAGGGTGCATTTCCCTCCCCGATTCCTTTTAGCGGTGATTCTTTTTGCGACTTTGGCATTGCCTCCATCTAGTATACATAATGTATCCCTGCTTTTTTCTTTCCTGGCAGGACAGCGAAATGAAATTAGGAACAGCCATTTTTCAATCTATCTATTTATCTAGAACAGGACATGGCAGATGGAGTGCAAACACAGGGGACCTTGCAAGCTGCTGTATGATTCAGCGGACAATACCTACCAATCGATATGCGCCCTTGGTGTAAGGTAACACATGTCTTACATCTGCTTCGTGGCAAAGAAGGATTCAAGACAAATCCGGGGTTCGAGTCCCCTAGGGTGCATTATGCATTCACGATCACTTTTTTTTTCTTTTCCCTTCTCGTTGGTTTTAGTTTTAGATGCTATTATCTTGTTGGCTGGCAGAAACATCCAACTAGCCGGATATTTGTGGGTCCCAGTCGGTAGCTGTTCATTAATTTAAAATTATTGCATGGTAACACAGGTTTGAATCAAAAGATCAAGCATTCACCAACTGCACAACCCACCACAGCACTCTAGATGTAGCAAGCACCCTTGGTTTTCTCGATATGCAAAGCAGAATTCAAGACAAGGTAAGTTGCTGTGTAATTTAGCGGACCATACCTACCGAGCAGTCCAGTCAATATGTGCCCTTGGTGTACGATAACACACGTCTTCATGGTATCATCTCATGATCATCCAAGTACCTAATTCAAGACAAGTCCGGGATTCGACTCCCCGAGGGCGTATGTTTGAAGTGTCACTTCTTTTGGCGGCGATTCTACTTTTCCGAGTCGCCGACTTTGGTATTGCCATAATCTTTTTTCTTCTTTCCTTGCAGACAGCCGAATGGAACGAACAGCCATTTTTTAATCTATCTATCTATATCTATTTATATCTTGCAAAGTCGGGTGGGCGCCTGTAACTCGGAGTATACTGTAGCGGAGCCATCGGTTGATATACGTCCACTACAGCAGATGTACTAAGCACCCTTGGTGTATGGAAACACACCTCTTCGATGTGTCCACAGGTCCAAATGGTCAAGATGAGTCCGGGGTTCGAATCCCCGAGGGTGCATTTCCCTCCCCGATTCCTTTTAGCGGTGATTCTTTTTCCGACTCCGGCATTATTGCCTCCATCTACATACTGCATCCATGCTTTTTTCTTTCCTTGCAGGACAGCGGAACGGAAGGAACTGCCATTTTTCAATCAATCTGTTTATCTAGAACAGGGGGTACCTTGCAAGCTGCTGTATAATTTAGCGGACCATACCTACCAATCGATATGCGCCCTTAGTGTAAGGTAACACACGTCTTACATCTGCTTTGTTGCGAAGAAGGATTCAAGACGAACCCGGGGTTCGATTCCCCGAGGGTGCATGGTGAGCTTCAGCAGTCTTTTTTCTTTTCCCTTTTCCCTTTTCATTGGTTCTGGTTTTAGATGCTATTGTCTTGTTGGCTGGTAGAACCATCCAACTAGCCAAATATTTGCGGGTCCCAGTTGGTAGCTGTTCATTAATTTGAATTATTACAGATGTTTAAATCAAAACATCGAGCATTCACCAACTTCTCAACCCACCACAGTACTCTAGATGTAGCAAGCACCCTTGGTCTTCTTGATATGCAAAGCAGAATTCAAGACAAGGTAAGTTGCTGTATAATTTAGCGGACCATACCTACCGAGCAGTCTAGACAAGATGTGCCCTTGGTGTACGGTAACACCCGTCTTCATGGTACATGATACCGATGGTTCAAGACGAGTCCGGGGTTCGACTCCCCGAGGGCGTATGTCTGTCTTGGGGTGTCATTTCTTTTGGCGGCGATTCTACTTTTCCGAGTCGCCGACTTTGGTGTTGCCATAATCTTTTTTGTTTCCTTGCAGGACAGCTGAACAGCCATTTTTTAATATATCTATCTATATCTATCTAGGCCCCAAGCTCAGGGCGCCTATAACTCGGAGTATAATGTAGCGGAACCATGGGTTGATATATGTCCACTACAATAGAGGTACTAAGCACCCTTGGTGTATGGAAACACACTTCTTCAATGTGGCCAAATGGTCCAAATGGTCAAGATGAGTCCGGGGTTCGAATCCCCGAGGGTGCATGGCCTGGAGTTCAGCTTTTCGACTCTGAGGTCGCTGTCTGACATTTTTTTTTTTGAGAGCAGAACGAAATGGAAGGAACAGCCAATCTATCTAGAACAAAATGGATGAAATGCAGATGCAGTCTAGGTGGGACCTTACAACATTGGGTGGGCACCCCTAGGTTGGAGTGCAATTTATCTACGTGGCCCACGGCACCTGAGCAGTTCAGTCGATATCGATATCTGCCCGCTACAGTATGCACAGGAAGCACCCTTGGTGTATATTATGGAAACACACATCTTTGAGTTGATGTACTCTTGTCTTGGATTTCACTAATAATCAAGATGAGTCCGGGGTTCGAATCCCCGAGGGTGCATTCGCATTTGAGTTCCGTTTTTGCGGTGATTCTTTTTCTGACTCCGGCATTATTGCCTCCATCTACATAATGTATCCGTGCTTTTTTCTTTCCTTGCAGGACAGCGAAATGGATTGAAGGAACAGCCATTTTTTAATCAATCCATACTTATATCTAGAACAGGACATGCAGATTGAGTGCAAACACAGGGGACCTTGCAAGCTGCTGTATAATTCAGCGGACAATACCTACCAATCGATATGCGCTCTTGGTGTACGGTAACACACATCTTACATCTGCTTGTTGCAAAGAAAGATTTGAGATGAGTCCGGGGTTCGATTCCCCGAGGGTGCATTATGCATTCATGATCACTTTCTTTTTCGTTCCCTTCTCGTTGGTTGTGGTTTTGATTTTGGGTGCTGAAACATCTAACTAGTCCGATATTTGCGGGACCCAGATGGTAGTTGTTCATTAATTCATTGCACGGTTGCAGATGTTTGATTCAAAACATCGAGCATTCACCAACTTCTCAACCCACCACAGCACTCTAGATGTAGCAAGCACCCTTGGTCAGACCTTCTTGATATGCAAAGCAGAATTCAAGACAACATAAGTTGCCGTATAATTTAGCAGACCATACCTACCGAGCAGTCCAGTCAATATGTGCCCTTGGTGTACGGTAACACACGTCTTCATGGTATGCTCATCAGCCACTTAATTCAAGACGAGTCCGGGGTTCGACTCCCCGAGGGCGTATGTTGTAGCGCATTGATTTGTTTTGGCAGCGATTCTATTTTTTCTGAGTCGCCGACTTTGATATTGCCATAATCTTTTTTGTTTCCTTGCAGGGGAAGGAACAGCCATTCTTTAATCTATCTATCTATATCTAGTTGGGTGGGCGCCTATAACTCGGAGTATAATGTAGTGGAGCCATCGGTTGATATATGTCCACTAGTAAGCACCCTTGGTGTATGGAAACACACATCGTACAGTTTTGTACTCAATATCTGCCTAATCAAGATGAGCCCGGGGTTCGAATCCCCGAGGGTGCATCCGTCCTTTGGCAAGCCTTTTGGCCTGTTTTTCGTTTCTCCACCTTTGGGTTTTTTTTTTTTTTTTTTTTTTTTTTTTCTGGTTGGATTGATTGTGACGAAGAGACCAGTCCGTAGATATGGGCTTCCCCTTTTGGTTTCGCCGTAGCGCCTCTGGGCCAACATTGTTGTCCCGTCACAATCCCAAAGTAGTCATCATGTAGGTTCGCTGACCTAATGTAGGTGGTGTTGACTACACCACAGGAAGAAATGCATTTACACAGACCAGTTTGAACATATGCCCCATTTAGGTAGCTGCTCCTTATGGTACTGTGGGACTCTGCTGACACGCAATACCCACTAAAACTCCCTGGTGGTTTTTGCGGGACTCGAACCTGCGGCCGTAGCATAAAGCTTACGGCGACCAGCGCATAGGCTGACCAGATCAGACGGCATATCCACTCAGCCATCCTCTCCCTTTGGTGTTTGCCTTGCTGTCCAACTAGTACTTTTTTTGAGTGTGGGATGCGAGGAACAGCCGGTCTATCTAGGACGGGGCCGGGTGCAGGGAGGGGACCTTGCAACATCGGGTGGGCACCCCTAAGTTGGAGTGTAATTTATCTACTGAGCAGGTCAGTTGATATCTGCCCGCTACAGTATGTACAGGAAGCACCCTTGGTGTATGGGAACACACATCTCACAGTTGGTCATGTCCTACATAATCAAGATGAGTCCGGGGTTCAAATCCCCGAGGGTGCATCCTTCCTTCTGCAAGTCTTTTGGCCGGGGTTCTGTTTGTCCGGCTTCAGTATTTGCCATCCGAATTTTCTTTTTTGAGAGCAGAATGGGAGGAACAGCCAATCTATCTAGAACAAAACAGATGAAATGCAGATGCAGGGAGGGGAACTTGCAACACCGGGTGGGCACCTCTAAGTCGGAGTGTAATTTATCTACTGAGCAGGTCAGTTGATATCTGCCTGCTACAGCATGCATAGGAAGCACTCTTGGTGTACATTATGGAAGCACACATCTTTGAATTGATATATTCTTGTATCTGGTTAATCAAGATGAGTCTGGGGTTCGAATCCCCGAGGATGCATCCCTCCTTTGTCGGCAAGTCTTTTGGCTGGGGTTCTGTTTTTTGTTTTTCCGACTTTGGTGTTTGCCGTCGTCCGACTTATTTTTGAGAGCGGAATGGAAGGAACAGCCATTTTTCAATCGGATGAAGTGCAAACACAGAGACCTTACAAGCATCCGTGAGTTGCTGTATAATTTTGCGGACCATACCTACCAAGCAGTCCAGTCGATATGTGCCCTTGGTGTACGGTAACACGTCTTACGTCTGTTTCGTCGCAAAGAAGGATTCGAGACGAACCCGGGGTTCGAGTCCCCGAGGGTGCATGTTGTTTTATGACCGTTTTTTTTCTTTTCCCTTCTCGTTGGTTGTGGTTTTGGTTTTGGGTGCTGAAACATCGAACTAGTCGGATATTTGCAGGACCCAGATGGTAGTTCATTAATTTATTGCACGGTTACAGATGTTTGAATCAAAACATCGAACTTCTCAACCCACCACAGTAGATGTAGCAAGCACCCTTGGTCTTCTTGATATGCAAAGCAGAATTCATTCAAGATGATCCCGGGGTTCAATTCCCCGAGGGCACATCCGCTAGCCAGTTCCAGTTTTTTTTTGCAAGTTGCCAGCACAACCACACAAATTCTGCATGCAGCCTTCAGGATGAGAATGACGTTGCAAATGCAGAATTGGCAGTCGTTGGTAGTTTTTTCTTTGATTACAGCACTTAGGTCTAAATAATTAAAGCATACAGAGCCCACCTCCCCATCTCCCAACTTCCTGACTCACTACAGTGTAGCAAGTGCCCTTGGTGTACGGAAAGACACATCTTTCAATTACCCCTTGATTCTCCATACAAGATGAATCCGGGGTTCGACTCCCTGAGGGTGCATATAGTTTTTTATTTTTTCCTTGCTAACCGGTTTTGGGTATTCTCTGTTTGGTGAGGGTGGTTCGGCAGAAACACCTGACTAGTCGGATATTTGCGGTACCCACTTGGTGGTTCATCTATCTACTGGTCAGTTCAGGCGCTGACCACTGCTGTGCGACAGGGATCGTGTTACGTATCCCGAGCAGGGTCGGGTTGGCAGAGTCGGCGGAGAAAGGGGTGAATACAAATATTCATTCGCTTCCTCGAGATCCCGCCGGGGTGATTCTCCAAATGTGTATTGAGGGCGATTCCTCTACATCCCACCATGCACCCTTGGTGTATGGTAACACCCGTCCTCATGGTTCACTGCAGCCACCGGGCCCTTAATTCAAGACGAGTCCGGGGTTCGACTCCCCGAGGGCATATAGGCATTTCTGATTATGGTTTCTTTTGGTGGCGATTCTACTTTTCCGAGTCGCCGACTTTGATACTTATTGCCTGCCTTCATCTATCTTTTTTCTTTCCTCGCAGGACAGCCGGAACAGCCATTTCAATCTATCTATATCCATCTAGGCCCCGAGCTAGTTATGTGGGCGCCTATAACTCGAAGTATAATGTAGCGGAACCATAGGTTGATATATGTCCACTACAATAGAGGTATTAAGCACCCTTGGTGTATGGAAACACACATCTTACAATTGTTGTTCGTATTCGATGCCCAACTAATCAAGATGAGCCCGGGGTTCGAATCCCCGAGGGTGCATGTTCTCTTCATGTGTAAGTCTTTTGGCTGGGGTTCTGTTTTAAGGTTTTTCCGACTTTGGTGTTTGCTGTCCGGCTTGTTTTTGGGAGGAACAGCCATTTTTCAATCAATCTATCTAGGATGAAGTGCAGATGTGAGGGACCTTGCAACATTGGGTGGGCACCCCTAACTTTAAGTTGGAGTGTAATTTATCTCCGTGGCCCACCTGAGCAGTTCAGTTGATATCGATATCTGCCCGCTACAGTATGCATAGGAAGCACCCTTGGTTTACATTATGGAAACACACGTCTTTGAATTAATTCGTTCTTGATCTTTCACCAATCAAGATGAGTCCGGGGTTCGAATCCCCGAGGGTGCATGGCGTTCATGGGAGTCTTTTGGCTGGGGTTCTGTTTTTTGTTTTTCCGACTTTGGTGTTTGCCATCCGACTCTTCTTCCTCGAGAGCGGAATGGAAGGAACAGCCAATCTATCTTAGTATCTAGAACAAAACAGATGAAGTGCAGATGTCAGTCTGGGACCTTGCAACATCGGGTGGGCACCCCTAACTTTAAGTTGGAGTGTAAATTATCTACTGAGCAGTTCAGTTGATCATGATATCTGCCCGCTACAGTATGCATAGGAAGCACCCTTGGTGTACATTATGGAAACATACATCTTTGAATTTATGTATTCCTGTATCTTGGTTAATCAAGATGAGTCCGGGGTTCGAATCCCCGAGGGCGCATTCGTACTTGAGACCCGTTTTAGCGGTGATTCTTTTTTCGACTCCGGCATTGCCTCCATCTACATAATGTATCCATGCTTTTTTCTTTCCTTGCAGGACAGTGGAATGGATGGAAGGAACAGCCATTTTTTAATCAATCTATTTATCTAGAACAGGACATGCAGATTGAGTGCAAACACAGAGGACCTTGCAAGCTGCTGCATAATTCAGCGGACCATACCTACCAATCGATATGCGCCTTTGGTGCAAGGTAACACACGTCTTTCTGCTTTGTTGCAAAGAAAGATTTGAGACGAGTCCGGGGTTCGATTCCCCGAGGGTGCATTATGCATTCACGATCACTTTTTCTTTCTTTCCCTCCTGGTTGGTTTTGGTTTTGGGTGCTATTGTCTTTGTCGGCTGGTAGAAACATCCAACTAGCCGGATATTTGGGGGTCCCAGTTGGTAGTTGTTCATTAATTTTGAATTATTGTATGGTTACAGATGTTTGAGTCAAAACATCGAGCATTCACCAACTTCACAACCCACCACAGTACTCTAGATGTAGCAAGCACCCTTGGTCAGATCTTCTTGATATGCAAAGCAGAATTCAAGACAAGGTAAGTTGCTGTATAATTTAGCGGACCATACCTACCGGGCAGTCTAGTCAAGATGTGCCCTTGGTGTACGGTAACACATGTCTTCATGGTATCATCTCATGATTATCCAGGTACCTAATTCAAGACGAGTCCGGGGTTCGACTCCCCGAGGGTCTATGCTGAAGAGCATTGATTTGTTTTGGTGGCAATTCTACTTTTCCGAGTCACCGACTTTGATATTGCCATAATATTTTTTTGTTTCCTTGCAGGATGGCCGAACAGCCATTTTTTAATCTATCTATCTATATCTGGTTGGGTGGGCGCCTATAACTCGGAGTTTAATGTAGCGGAACCATCGGTTGATCTATGTCCACTGCAATAGAGGTACTAAGCACCCTTGGTGTATGGAAACACACATCTTTGAATTGATATATTCTTGTATCTGGTTAATCAAGATGAGTCCGGGGTTCGAATCCTCGAGGGTGCATTGCCTGGAGTTCCGCTTTTTCGACTTTGGTGTTTGCCGGCGCCATCCAACTTATTTTTTTTTTTGAGCGGAATGGAAGGAGCAGCCATTTTTCAATCAGAACAAAACGGATGGAGTGCAAACACAGAGGACCTTGCAAGCACCTGTAAGTTGCTGTATAATTTAGCGGAGCATACCTACCGAGCAGTTCAGCGAATATGTGCCCTTGGTGTACGGTAACACATGTCTTACATCTGCTTTGTCGCAAAGAGGGATTCGAGGCGAACCCGGGGTTCGATTCCCTGAGGGTGCATGGTGGGTTTCAGCTGTTTTTTTTTCTTTTCCCTTCTCGTTGGTTTTGGTTTTGGGTGCTATTGTCTTGCTGACTGGTAGAAACATCCAACTAGCCGGATATTTGCGGGTCCCAGTTGGTAGTTCAGGTGTTTGAATCAAAATATCAAACTTCTCAACCCACCACAGTAGATGTAACAGGCACCCTTGGTCAGATCTTCTTGATATGCAAAGCAGAATTCAAGACAAGGTAAGTTGCCGTATAATTTAGCGGACCATACCTCCCAAGCAGTCTAGTCAATATGTGCCCTTGGTGTATGGTAACACATGTCTTCATGGTATCATCTTAGTCTCTTCTAAACAGATGCTATAAAAATTCCAACTCGTACCTCGTTTGTTATAGGCATCATCTCATGATTATCCAGGTACCTAATTCAAGACGAGTCCGGGGTTCAACTCCCCGAGGGCCTATGTTGCAGTGCGCGTTGATTTCTTTTGGCGGCAATTCTACTTTTCCGAGTCGTGGACTTTGGTATTGCCATAATCTTTTTTGTTTCCTTGCAGGATGGCCGAACAGCCATTTTTTAATCTATCTATCTATATCCAGTTGGATGGGCGCCTATAAGTCGGAGTATAATGTAGCGGAGCCATACCTGGCACTACAATAGAGGTACTAAGCACCCTTGGTGTATGGAAACACACATCTTTGAATTAATGATGTTTGATATGAATCAAGATGAGTCCGAGGTTCGAATCCCCGAGGGTGCATTGCCTGGAGTTCCGCTTTTTCGACTTCGGTGTTTGCCGTCGTCTGACTTTTTTTTTTTTTTGAGCGGAATGGAATGGATGGAGCCATTTTTCAATCAGAACAAAACAGATGGAGTGCAAACACAGAGGACCTCACAAGCACCCGTAAGTTGCTGTATAATTTAGCGGACCATACCTACCGAGCAGTTCAGCCAATATGTGCCCTTGGTGTACGGTAACACACCTCTTACGTCTCGTCAAGCAATATAGAATTCAAGACGAGTCCGGGCTTCGATTCCCCGAGGTGCATTATGCATTCACAATCATTTTTTTCTTTCCCTTCTGGTTTTGGTTTTGGTTTTGGGTGCTATTGTCTTGCTGACTGGTAGAACCATCTAACTAGCCGGATATTTGCAGGTCCCAGTTGGTAGTTGTTCATTAATTTAAAATTATTCCACAGTTACAGATGACTGAATCAAAAGATCGAGCATTCACCAACTTCTCAACCCACCACAGTACTCTAGATGTAGCAAGCACCCTTGGTCAGATCTTCTTGATATGCAAAGCAGAATTCAAGACAATGTAGATTGCTGTATAATTTAGCAGACCATACCTACCGAGCAGTCCAGTCGATATGTGCCCTTGGTGTACGGTAACACCCGTCTTCATGGTATCATTGCTCACAAGGTACTTAAATTCAAGACGAGTCCGGGGTTCGACTCCCTGAGGGCGTATGTCTGTCTTGGGGCGTCATTTCTTTGGCGGTGATTCTACTTTTCCGAGTCACCGACTTTTTCTTTCCTTGCAAGGGAAGGAACAGCCATTCTTTACTATCTATATCTATCTAGTTGGGTGGGCGCCTATAACTCGGAGTATAATGTAGCGGAACCATCGGTTGATATATGTCCACTAGTAAGCACCCCTGGTGTATGGAAACACACATCTTTGAATTGATTATGTTTGATATGAATCAAGATGAGTCCGGGGTTCGAATCCCCGAGGGTGCATGGTTTTCGTGTGCCACTGGTTGAGTCTTTTGGCCGGGGTTCTGTTTTTCTGACTTCAGTATTTGCTAGCGCCGTCCGACTTTTTTTGAGAGCGGAAGGAGCAGCCTGGATTTTTCAATCAGTCAATCAATAGGGGTGCTCAATAATTAGGTCGACCTGGTCAGATCGCCTTTTAATTCGAAAAATCATTTGATCCTTTGATCGCCGGCGGTAGGTGTGCGTGCCAGCATACGAGACAGATAATTACTTGAAAGAACAGGGAAGAATCAAACGAATGCATTGCTTAATAGACTGTTTTAAACTCCATGTATGGACTGTTAGGTAGGCTGTCAAATTATATGAAGGGAATATACAGTAAAATTAGTAGTAAAAGAGATTGGGTTTTGCAGGCACGTTGACATTGGCATCTTTGCGAGGACGGCCTTGTCCGCGCTTTGCCGCAGGTGGAGTCTCGTCGGACGTGGAGTTGGCACGCTTTTGAGTGGTGTTGACAGCGTCAGACACGTCATCGTGGTCTCCGGGGCGGCGAAGGGCGATGGAGGTTATAGAGTTGTTCTGGAGACAGGTATGGCGCAGGACGCAGCACCCATGTGCGAAGTCGCGCGCGTGTAGAAGGGAGAGATAGGAGTATGTACACAAGGTCACGAGATCACGGAGTGGAGTGATCGGACACTCGGCGATCACTGATTTTTCGAATTAAAACGCGACCTGCCAGGTCGACCTAATTATTGAGCACCCCTAATCTATCTAGAACAACAGGATAGATGGAGCGCAGATGTAGGGGACCTTGCAAGCACCCATAAGTTGCTGTATAATTTCGCGGACTATACCTACCAAGCAGTTCAGCCAATATGTGCCCTTGGTGTATGGTAACACACGTCTTCATGGTATCATTGCTCATAAGGTACTTAATTCAAGACGAGTCCGGGGTTCGATTCCCCGAGGGTGCATTCGTACTTGAGACCCGTGTTAGCGGTGATTCTTTTCCGACTCCGGCATTATTGCCTCCATCTACATAATGTATCCGTGCTTTTTTCTTTCCTTGCAGGACAGCGAAATGGGTTGAAGGAACAGCCATTTTTTAATCAATCCATACTTATATCTAGAATAGGACATGCAGATGGGTGCAAACACAGGGGACCTTGCAAGCTGCTGTATAATTCAGCGGACCATACCTACCAATCGATATGCGCCCTTCGTGTAAGGTAACACACGTCTTACATCTGCTTGTTGCAAAGAAAGATTTGAGACGAGTCCGGGGTTCAATTCCCCGAGGGTGCATTACGCATTCACAATCACTTTTTCTTTCTTCCCCTCCTGGTTGGTTTTGGTTTTGGTTTTGGGTGCTATTGTCTTGTTGGCTGGTAGAACCATCTAACTAGTCGGATATTTGCGGGTCCCAGTTGGTAGTTGTTCATTAATTTAAAATTATTGCATGGTTACAGGTGTTTGAATCAAAACATCGAGCATTCACCAACTTCACAACCCACCACAGCACTCTAGATGTAGCAAGCACCGTTGGTTTTCTTGATATGCAAAGCAGAATTCAAGACAAGGTAAGTTGCCGTATAATTTAACAGACCATACCTACCGAGCAGTCTAGTCAAGATGTGCCCTTGGTACGGTAACACCCGTCTTCATGGTACCATCAGGTACCTAATTCAAGAAGAGTCCGGGGTTCGACTCCCCGAGGGCGTACGTGATTTCTTTTGGCGGTGATTCTACTTTTCCGAGTCGTCGACTTTGGTATTGCCATAATCTTTTTTCTTCTTTCCTTGCAGACAGCCGAATGGAACGAACAGCCATTTTTTAATCTATCTATCTATATCTATTGGGACCTTGCAAAGTCGGGTGGGCGCCTATAACTCGGAGTATAATGTAGCGGAACCATCGGTTGATATACGTCCGCTAGTAAGCACCCTTGGTGTATGGAAACACACTTCTTCGAATTCGATGTGGCCACAGGTCCAAATGGTCAAGATGAGTCCGGGGTTCGAATCCCCGAGGGTGCGTTTCCTTCTTGTGCCAAAGTCTTTTGGCTCAGGTTCTGTTTTTCCGACTTTAGTGTTCACTGTTTGCCGTCCGACTTGTTTTGAGGGCGGAAGGAACAGCCTGGATTTTTCAATCAATCAATCAATCAATCTAGAACAACAGGACAGATGGAGTGCAGATGTAGGGGACCTCGCAAGCACCCGTAAGTCGCTGTATAATTTAGTGGAGCATACCTACCAAGCAGTCCAGTCAACATGTGCCCTTGGTGTATGGTAACACATGTCTTCATGGTATCATTGCTCACAAGGTACTTAATTCAAGACGAGTCCGGGGTTCGACTCCCCGAGGGCGTATGTTGCAGTGCGCGTTGATTTCTTTTGGCGGCGGTTCTATTTTTTCCGAGTCACTGACTTTGATATTGCCATAATCTTTTTGGTTTCCTTGCAGGGGAAGGAACAGCCATTTTAATCTATCTATCTATATCTATCTAGGCCCCAAGGGCGCCTATAACTCGGATTATAATGTAGCAGAACCATTGGTTGATATATGTCCACGACAATAGAGGTACTAAGCACCCTTGGTGTATGAAAACACACATCTTTGAATTGATGATGTTTGATATGAATCAAGATGAGCCCGGGGTTTGAATCCCCGAGGGTGCATCCCTCCTTTGTCAAGTCTTTTGGCTGGGGTTCTGTTTTAAAGTTTTTCCGACTTTGGTGTTTGCCGTCCAGCTTTTTTTTGAGAGGAATAGCCATTTTTCAATCAATCAATCAATCTAGATCAAAATGGATGAAGTGTAGATGCAGGGGACCTTGCAACATTGGGTGGGCACCCCTAAGTTGGAGAGTAATTTATCTACTGAGCAGTTCAGTTGATATCTGCCCGCTACAGCATGCATAGGAAGCACCCTTGGTGTACATTAAGGAAACACACATCTTTGAGTTGATGTACTCTTGGATTTCACTAATCAAGATGAGTCCGGGGTTCGAATCCCCGAGGGTGCATCCCCCCTCACTGCCAAGTCTTTTGGCCGGGGTTCTGTTTTTCCGACTTTGGTGTTTGCCGTCCGACTTTTTTTTTGAGAGCGGAATGGAAGGAACAGCCATTTTCAATCAGAACAAAACAGATGGAGTGCAAACCCAGTGGACCTTGCAAGCACCTGTAAGTTGCTGGATAATATGGTGGACCATACCTACCAAGCAGTCCAGTCAATATGTACCCTTGGTGTACGGTAACACACGTCTTACGTCTGCTTCGTCACAAAGAAGGATTTGAGACGAACCCGGGGTTCGAGTCCCCGAGGGTGCATTATGCATTCACGATCACTTTTTTCTTCTTTTCCCTTGTTGGTTGTGGTTTTGGTTTTGGGTGCTATTGTCTTGTCGGCTGGTAGAAACATCTAACTAGCCGGATATTTGCGGGTCCCAGTTGGTAGTTGTTCATTAATTTTAAATTATTGCATGGTAACACAGGTTTGAATCAAAAGATTGAGCATTCACCAACTGCACAACCCACCACAGTACTCTAGATGTAGCAAGCACCCTTGGTCAGATCTTCTTGATATGCAAAGCAGAATTCAAGACAAGGTAAGTTGCCGTATAATTCAGCAGACCATACCTACCAAGCAGTCCAGTCAACATGTGCCCTTGGTGTACGGTAACACATGTCTTACGTCTGCTTTGTCGCAAAGAAGGATTCGAGATGAACCCGGGGTTCGAGTCCCCGAGGGTGCATGGTGTAGTCGTGATTGTTTTTTTCCTGTTACCTCCTCATTGGTTTTGGTTTTGGTTTTGGGTGCTATTGTCTTGTTAGCCGGTAGAAACATCGAAGTAGTCGGATATTTGCGGGACCCAGTTGGTAATTATTCATTAATTTATTGCATGGTAAAACAGGTTTGAATCAAAACATTGAGCATTCACCAACTTCACAACCCACCACAGCACTCTAGATGTAGCAAGCACCCATGGTCAGATCTTCTTGATATACAAAGCAGAATTCAAGACAACGTAAGTTGCTGTATAATTTAGTGGACCATACCTACTGAGCAGTCTAGTCAAGATGTGCCCTTGGTGTACGGTAACACTTGTCTTCATGGTACCATCTCCAGGTACCTAATTCAAGACGAGTCTGGGGTTCGACTCCCTGAGGGTGTATGTTGAAGAGCATTGATTTGTTTTGGCGGCAGTTCTACTTTTCCGAGTCGCCGACTTTGATATTGCCATAATCTTTTCATTCCTTGCAGGGGAAGGAACAGCCATTTTTTAATCTATCTATCTAGGCCCCTTGCAAAAGTTGGGTGGGCACCTATAACTCGGAGTATAATGTAGCACAATTTACAGTGAAAAATGTCGATTGTTTTTCAGACATTTTTCACTGAAAAAAATGGTGAAATTTTCAGACCTTTTTCACCCCTTTTCAACTTTCTTTCAAGTTTTTTCACCTCAAACCAGAAAAGTGGTGAAAAAGCTTTGAAAATTTCACCATTTTTTCACTGAAAAATGTCTGAAAACAAACGACATTTTTCACCGTAAATTGTGCTGAAAAATTTGAATCTCCCAACCAGTGCTGTACAATTCCCGGGGTTCGAATCCCCGAGAGTGCATCCCTCCTTTTTCGGCAAGTCTTTTGGCTTGGGTTCTGTTTTAAAGTTTTTTCGACTTTGGTGTTTGCCGTCCAGCTTTTTTAGAGAGGAACAGCCGTTTTTCAATCAATCAATCTATCTAGAGCAAAGTGGATGAAGTGCAGATGCAGGGAGGGGGCCTTGCAACATCGGGTGGGCACCCCCAAGTTGGAGTGTAACTTATCTACTGAGCAGGTCAGTTCAGATCGGATATCTGCCCGCTACAGCATGCATAGGAAGCACCCTTGGTGTATGGAAACACACATCTTTGAATTTATGTACTCTGTGATCAATCAAGATGAGTCTGGGGTTCAAATCCCCAAGGGTGCATTTCCCTCCCGGATCCCTTTTAGCAGTAATTCTTTTTCTGACTTCAGCAAAGCGCCCATCGGCCCATCGGCAATGTGACCCGTTGTGACCAACGCCTGTCACCCGCTCCCACATAATCCCTGGCCACATCTGGCTTTCTCATCTGGGTGTCCTGCCCTTGGCATTTCCTCTTTTTTTCCAAGCGGCCCGCTAGCTCGTGGCGGGCCGGGACTGAGACTATTTACTGAGACTCGGAAGGACTCGGAGGAATTCCGAGGAACCAAAGGCCGACGTCGTTTGCTTCCGAAGCGTGCGATGTCGTGTTGTGAAGAAGCATGCGCAGCAGCAGTCTGTCGCGCCGTTTCACGCAGTCTGTCACTACCTCCCGTTTCATGCTCTCTGTGGCGGTCGTGTTAGAAGATTTGATGACGCCGTAACTGAGTAAGTGAATGTGTTCGCAAGACCTGGATATGAACTGGAGAACAGGCTGTTTCCATGACAACCCGCAATCATATCATTCACTCATGATGCTCAGGGGAGGATAGAAGGGAGCGTATCTGCCGCTTGTATCGTACTATGATATTCTCCCGATGGTTGACATTTCTCTGATAGCTCTTAACAGAGGCGTCGGCTGTATTCACACACCTATGAGGTCTCTATGCTTGCATTCTCCCTCCTCTCCGTCCTCGTCTTTGCTCTCTTCTCTGGATCTGCTGTGGTGCCTACCTTGAGAGCACGGAGTTCAATCTCTGAGTCGTCGTGGCGTGTACGTCGCACCGAGATTCCTTTTGCAAAATTGACGGTGAACCGCTTCTCAGAAACCAAACGTCACGCAGTCTCTGGCAGACCTGATCGACATTGCCTCAGCTGCTCTGGCGAAGGCTATTGACGGGGTGAGCACCATTAACCAGTTCGATGGTATATTGCTTTCCATCCTCTAGTAATGCTCATCTGACTGATCTCAAACCAACAGGCCAAACATACGAATATGTGGCCACGTTATACTGCGAGATGGCCCAGTTCGACATGATCACGAATCAGACGCAATATGAGAATATCTTGCAGCAGTCTTTCTCTCGGACACAGCAAACGCGTCCCAACTTTGCCGATGAACAGTGAGTAACCGCAGTCTTCTTCAGATTACGTGCTGAGCCCGCAACTCCAGTGTTAGTCCCGAGTACTTTTTTCCTTTCCTTTTCATATACTCAACTGTGGCTCTTCTTCAGCTGAATTTTGGTCTGTAAGTGAGATCGTTTGCAGCCCAGATAAATTGCTGAGGCAAAAACTCTCAGCACTTACGGTTACGCCGCACTCCAGGCATATTTGGCGTACCAAAACTCCACGTTTCTCCAATACGCCATTCAATCGTGGTCGTTCGGGCGGTCCCTCACGCTGTCGCAGGCGGGTACAACTTTGTCAGGAAAGAACTTTACAGTGCTGGGCTCTTGTAATGACGGTGAGCGGCAATTATATGATTTCCGACCCCTTCTCACCGCTCTCGATAGCCACAATGGCGGGTGGGACATTCTGGGTCAGTCAGCATTCCGCGCATTGCAGCCGACGGCGCCACTGATCTCGATCGCCAGACTACTACCGCTTCAGATCCGAGTGTGGCGGCGATGTCCACTGGGTGTGTGTTCCATCTCCCGTTTTCATGTCTCACATCTCAAACATGTGATAGTTATTTTATGCTGTATGTAATTTCTAATCACCGCGACGTCTCCCGGGGCCCCTTTACGCTATCTTCCAGGCTGTCTGCCCTGTTAGCCGAGGCTACATCCAACCCGAGTTACTTGGATGCTGCCGCTGAATCGGCCAACTTCATTCACTCACACTTGTACAATTCCAATGGCCTCGTCCTGCAAATCGTATCCGCAAGCCAGGATGATTCATGCAAAGTCCTCGACGACAGCGTCAATACGTTTAATTCTGGGCTGTTCATCGAGGGCCTGGCGGTTCTCGCTTCCCAGAAGCGAGATCCGTCAACGCTGACTTTGTGAGATTCGACGACCATCTCTCGTGTTCAGACTTGACGTGTTGGCTAGGCTTAATGATCTCATCACCAATGTCCTTTCCAATCCGTCGTGGCAGACCACAGGAGGAATAATAACCAACGGAGGCTCGTATATTCTGGTTAACTCTTTGTGCGGTCACCACTCATACATTTTCGTTTCAAAACTTAGCCGGAAAGAACGGAGATTCGATCCTCGTGCGCGCCCTTACCGCTGCCTACGTGCGCAACGTCACGACGCCCGATATTCGTAAAACTCTGCGTGATTATATTTCTGTGCAGGTTCGTCAGGACATTCACCAGCGGCGTCGTCATTGAGTATCATAATTGATAGTTCAACGCGGTCATAGACCTCGCAACGAACGGCGACAATATCTATGGCTCACAATGGATCGGCCCGGCCAGTTCAGCGTTTTCGGAAAACAGCCAAACCAGCGCGCTTTCCCCCTTGCTCAATACCGCCTATTTCATTGCCTCCGACATGAATATAACCGCGTCGTCCACTTCAACATCGTCGACATCGCCGGAACGGTCCCCGACGCCTTCCTCGACCCCATCGAAGGCGCCGGCGGCGGCAATGATCGCAGGACCCGTGATTGGCGCAGTGCTCGTCGTCGCAATCGGAATTGTCGTCTGTCTCATTGTTCGTCGCCGCCGCGCACGAGCAAGAGAACTCTTAGCACCGGAACCGATGCCCACGGCACAGTTGGCCCCGACCTCAATTCCGACGACCTCCGCTGCCGCTCAGCCTCAGAGCAACCCTTCCTTCGCTGATTCAAGCGCCGACCGCTCGTTCAATTTCCCCTCTCACCCTTCCGTCGTTCCTCCGACCGATTTTTCATTTATGCCTCGCTCGTATGTGGGCGCAGAAAAGAGGCGACCTCCGCCGCGCCATGTGCCGCAACAGTCGGAGATGAGCGCGATGTTCACCTCGACGAGCACAGGGGGTGATTCGTTCCCTGGTAACGCACATTCTACTTCCGCGGCGGCGCTTCGGGACTCTCAGGTGGTTGAGGAGGAGCCACCACCCGAGTATGTCGCAAAGGGAAGATGATCTCTTTTTGCGCAATCTCCTTCTATACCGGCAGATCGAGGTACAATATGTATGTCTTGTAATAAAATGTTCACTTTGGCTCAGATGACAATCATACCCATTTCCAGTAGGGCAAAGCTGACCTGGACTGTGAGAGGAGGTTGAAGTGATTTTGATCTCATCATGCACTTGACCGGCATATTCCGTCTCGGCGGCGTCTCCAATGGTCCGCGGGTTGAAATGGCGAGAACGGCTGTCTTAGACAGACTACAACACGCGAGGTACGAGTGAAATTCGTTGTAGCATCTGTTTAGAAGAGACTAAGCTCCCTTTGG